TTAAAAAAATAACTGTAGTAAGAAAAACAAATGAAAAATGCGAACTAATGTAACGTCGTATGGTGAGTTTTTGTTCGTATCGTGGAGCAAAAATATGTTCGAATTTCATGTCGTATCCTGAAAATTTCGTATGCTGGGGCGTTCGTAACCTGAGGTACCACTGTATATCAAATATTTTAATGGATTTTTTTAACTCCCGTCAACTATACAGAACTATTGTAAAAACATAGCAGTAAATTCTTATCGGTTGGGTTAAGTTATAAATCTACTCGTTATTCACGTAATCAGCCAAATATCTAGCGGGCGGGCGGCTAACAGCCCGGAACCGGTCCCGGTCCCGGATAGAATTGGAAGCGTTGGAATGTGTAGCATCAACTCAAGGTCGTAGGCTTCCACCAGCTAAACCGGGTGATGTTGGTGCTCTGTAAAGCGCGTGCGCAAACCTGGCTTTTTGGAATCTGACAATACAGAGATTCCACTCTGCCACTAATATTCGAATATACAATAGCGATCTTATTTTTTTTCACGTGTAGTATAGAAATTTGTAATAAGATACATAATGCGGTTATAATAAAATATTGTGTGATTATTTTCGTATAATTAAAATTAATGTGTATTTATTTTTTATAAAATACAAGGGAAGCGGCGCTTCCATGGCTTCTAATGATGGCACGCCACTGGTACCTAGGTAACCCTAATGGCGGTGCTTCGGTTAGGTTGGTTTGGTTAAGTTAACTACATTTTTAGTAGATGTTTCCTTTTTCTCTTTTGTTCAAGAACTACCATGAATCAATAACTAGTAACGTTAATAATGGGCGGACTGCTGGCAGCTCCCCTCCGGGAGGAGTCCGCAAGGAGCACGAAAAGTCTGAAGTGCCGCCATTGTGGTTACTTAGGTACACTGTAACCCACCCTGTAAAAATAAATAAAAGATTAAACATTTTATACGTTACACTAAGAAACACAAGTTAATTTTTAATTTTAGTTTGACTTTAATTAAAAGTTGTTTTTATTATTTCGTTTCAATTTTTGAAAAATATTTTCGAAAGTTAATAACCTTTAAAAGTGCATGGCTTAATAAAAAAATTACAAACTGATAAGTACTGATTAGCTTATTTTTATTTCATAGTTTTGTAGAAGTGTTGTGTCACTTCTAATCAATACTGTTTTTTATAATTAAGTAGACTATGTTTGAATAAATATTGTTCATCTAATTGATTGCCTTTTAATTTTATTTTAACCATTAATATATTTAAATCAGGCCTGGTCAACCCATGGACCGTCACATTAAATTGTGCAGCACGCTAAGCAATATTATTAATATATATCTATTAAAACTTTCATTTCCCATTTTGTGTATACAAAACAATTAAATAAATGAAAATTTGCATGTGTCATTGTTATAATGCGCAAGTGTGAGTACGAACTCTTGGTATAACAATGAAATTTTATTCATTTTGTATTTGTTTTACTTTTTTAAAAGCATATTTGCCTAAATTCTAGCCCATTGTAATGTTACGCTTGATCAAAGTGGCCCGCGAAACAATTTGTGTTGGCCAGGCCTGATTTAAATAATAATTCTAAATCAGTTCAGCCTAGGACAAACTAGTTAAGCCTAAAGTATTTAGGCCAAACTAGATTGTCCTAGGCTAAACTAGTGACCAGATGGCTAAGTGGTCAAGGTGTCAGCCTACCGCTATGGGGGACCCAGGCTCGAATCCGAAGGGGTCAAAAAATCCCCAGAAATTTTTCGGGGGGTGGTCCGTTCGGTCATGTCGGGCCCTGTCCCTCACCACCCGGCAGTCCCATTGTGGGCTTGCAAACAGAGGCCCTCCTAGTGCCCACAGGGCGGAGAGTTAAAAAAAAAAGAGAAAAAAAAAAGACTAAACTAGTTTGGCCGGTAACATATACATAGAATGTGTTTTTTTATTTTTAATTTTGTTTTTTTATTATTTTTAATATATATATTGTTTCGTATTAATTTTTATAACAACAAGCCAAATTAAATAGTCATAGTTGTCAACATAAAAATAAATAGATGAAAAATTGAAAGCATATATGTCTATAAAAAATATAATTTTTCTGTTTTCAAGATAGAGAAAATGAAACATATCGAAATCCCTAACTACAAAAAACAAATGTTTTGCAAATTAAATTTAGTGCTTTAACTACTTTTGCATTAGTACTCAACTACAGTATTTTTGAGTACAATTGAAAAGTGGTGATACTGTGGTATCACCAGTTTCCAATTGATATTGCTTCTGATGATGCTGTTTTTCCTGATAATCTATAATATAATTTAAACAGATAACAACCTATATTGCAAATTGGAACAATTTTTTAAAGAGGCTAGCTAGGCTATGTGAATCTAGATCCCATACTCCATTGTAGTTGTCTATGGTAACCACTGACTTATTCCCTACCTCCTACATTAGAGCTATGTAGTTTGTGGTCATTCCCTTTACAGTGGAAATATGTCTACAAAATTTCAGGTTTAGATGGTCATAATTTTTTTTAGCTTTTCCTCAGAGGTACAAAGGAAGGTGTTATTTTATATTTATTGTAGGTTCAGCTGGATGGTGTGGAATGAGTCAATATATCTAAGACAGACTGCACAAATATTTCCTGGGTTCTTTGCCTAAATTGGATCCCAGAGTGGCAGGCTGGCACGTTACACATTTGGCATCCCCTACAATATATACAATATAAGAGATGCATCACTAAAATTTATTTCTAGACAAGTTTTCAAGTACCCATGGGCAGAAATATTTATAATCGGTACTGAATTTTCTAATATTTTAAATGCATACATATCCAATAAATTCAGATCCACATAATTTTATACATTGTATATTAAATAAAATCTTAATAAATACATAAGAAAACTTTTTTGTTTATATAATTAGTGTGTCACTTCGTTGTTAAAGATAAATTTCCATTTAATGACTTTTACCCCCAAAAGCAAAATATTTGTAATTTCACTTTATGTATTAAATATTACAAATGACATCAAATCTGAAACTATAATTGCTCCGAAGAGAAAGTTTACTTTTTCCACCACAGTTACAATAATAATAAAATATGTATTTTCTTTACAAAAATACTTTGCAGCTTTTTGTAGAATAAAAAGAAAAAAAAATACACTTATGAGAAATTCATTCTCATAAATTAACAAGTTTTAAGAGAATACAAATTGAAGCCATGTTTTATTCTCTTTAGTTGTAAAAATAATTATAAAAATAAATCACTTTTCTTGATCCAACAACAGTAAATTGTAAAATATATAATTTTGTTTCATTACCTTTTGAAAGTTATATATATTTTAATATTTTGATACAGTATATTTACAAAATTTATTCATGAATTTCTTAAAAAATGGCTTTATATAAATTTTAAAATAGTAAAAAGGTAAGAAAATAAATGATATTTATTAAATAAAAAATATATAAACCTGTATTTAATGAAAGATATATTGGAACATCGCTTTATCAGAGTCTCTTATAATGTGAATTCGATATAAAGTTTAAAACTCTACAATTTTTGCTATTTTTGTATAGTTAGTTAGAGGGAATGATATGAATTTAATATATTTGGCTTGTTTACTCGCATGGCACTCCAAGAGTTATTATACTCTATACCGAATTTTCACAACTTTGCCTTTTTGCATCACGTTTCACAAGAATACATTGTAACATTTGATTTTATATTAGAAAAAAATTATAAAAAATATTAAAATATACAAAGCTGCCAAAATTTCTTTGTAAATAAAAAAACAATTAGCATTTTTCATGGAGAAAAAGCATTAAAAAAATTATTACTCCATTTGCATTCGCTTTACACAAATGCAAAGGAATAAAATAAAAATTTGACACATTAACAACAAAATGGTAATTAGTATTTACAATTATATGCTTTATATTTTTAAAAGGCAGGTTTTAAACAACAGAAAAGTTCTCTCTGTAAGAGTAGATATCTTAATATTTTGGCAAATAAAAAGATTTTTAAAAATGAAAATACATTACATTAAGAACCTTTATCCATTCATTTTTGTATAATAAATGAGGATAAATGAACATACAACAAAACTAGTAATGTTGGTTAAAGCCCTTATATATAAATCCTGTGCATTAATGAGATTTTTTACTTCTAAAAACAGAAGATTCATTGAATCATTTTAATCAAATATACATTGGTTGCCTTTAATAAGCTGTACAATTAGAAAAACCAAGAAAATAAATGAAATACCAGTAAATAAAATTTAGTGTCAAATTTCTCGTTATCATTACTTAATAGTTTAAACTATCAAATAATAATAAAAAAGGAAGCTTTTATGTGACTCTCCACTCTTCTTAACATTTTATGGCACCATTATTAATAAGTTATTCAGCAAGACATATCTTATTTGCTGATAAGCAATACTTAAATTCAACAAAACATTTTATAGAAATGTAACAAAAGTGTCTCATTCAACTTCATGTGTGAAAATTTGTTGTTATAGTTTTGTATATAAAATATCTCAGATTTGCAACTTTTAAGCAACAATCATATTTAGGGACAGGGATAAAGCCTCATTTGTTATCAAGCAATTAGCACCAATTATTCAGAGGATTAGGAAGAATTTAAGTAAGATTAAGGAGATCCAAATCCATGATATTCGTCAGGAGATTTATTACCATACTTAGCACGTCTCAGTGCTGCTAGACGCCCTCTAGCTTCTTCCAATTCCTTTTCCTTCCTCAATATTTCTTCTCTAGCTATAATTTCTTGTGCAATGCCACCCACCATGTGTTTGTTGATGACAAGATTACGTTCTTCATCATTTCCCAAAGAATGTTGGCATGCTTTTACTAAATTATCTGTAGCTTGTTTTATAGCATTACCAGCAGCCTGATTGGAGAGAGATCAATTTTATAAAATTTCCATAATTGCAATTTACTGATTAAAAAACTTACCTGAAGTTTCTTCATGGCTTTGGATTCAGGATCAGCCTTTACTTTGCATGCTACTAGCAACTGATTAGTGGAACTTGCTACTTGCTTGGCTGAACTAATGAGCTTCTCTTCGGAAGAATGACCTTGTAATAGAGAATTGGCTGCTTCTATTAAACTGTGTGTCGATGCAACAACTAGTTCAGCCTAAAAATTAAATATAATTTAAATTAGTCTCAAAAATTTATAAATTTCAATACAAGAGATACAGAAATTAGCTAGATTATACACTCTGACAAAAATAGTGATGCATTCTCAAAAAACTAATCCAATTATAGTGCAACATCATAATCAAATACCTTTTAACTGAATATGCAAATGATAAAAAATTAACACCCAATGAATAGTCTGATCCCTCAAAGAAAGAATCATTCTTTATTACGATGTGCAATTTAATTCAAACTTCTCATGGAGCTTGCTCTTATCCTTGTTGATTATAAACAATGCTTCTCCATTAAATTCATGCCCACTACAGTATGGTGTTTAAAAGAGGACATGCCATTGGACTAAAAGAGATGGATGGACAAATCAACTTATCGCTCAGTATTTAGATTGGAGCAATGTGGCAATTAGATAATGCTGGCATGAATGGATCTTGAATGGCAAAGTTCAACAGGAATGGAAGATGAAAAGATTGTTTGAGCAGCTGTAATAACACAAGAGTCATTTCTATTGCTATCCAATATATGACCAATGCAGAAGTGATATGGATCATTACTAGATGACTACACAAATAGAATCTGTGCTCACAATGTCCAATATACTGGCTACCACTGATTTGTAGGCATTGTCAAGAGTGATGCAGAGATCCTGGGATTGATCAACATAAAATTATTCAATTGTTCCAAGTGTTCAGTATAATATGGTCATAGAGAGCTGTACCTTATTGTAAAAAAATAATCATTAAAGACTTTGTAATTTAACCCTCATCACTGGTGTGTTAAGCCCTCATGTATGTATGTATGTATATATAATTGATATAGACTTGAAATGGAACTGTTTTGATTGGTGACAAATCATCTTCAGTGACTTGTCCCATTTTGAACTGAGTACTGATAACCAATGCAAATGTGTGTGGCCATTGCCATAATCTGGCTTTTACTGTCAAATGCCACTTGGCCTGGCAACAGGTACTTATGGTCTGGGGCACAATTTTGTTTGTTAGACAGACCACTTCACAGTACACCAATGCATTGACAACATTCTGAGACATACTGTAATACTATTTCTTTCACAGCCCCCTGGACTTACTTTCCAACAAAGCAATGCCAAGCCCCATATGGCATCTCTCTCGTGAATGACTTCATGGTTGCAATATCCTTTCTTGCCCAGCTAGATCACCAGATCTCTTCTCAATTCAGCACATTTGGGACCTGATGGGACATTGCCTACAATCCTCCAGTAATGTCAACAACTTAGCCTGCCAATTGAACACTATTTGACAAGAAATCTCTCAGGACACCATTTGTCAACTTTATGAATCAATATCATACCAGGTAACAGCTTGTATTCAGACAAGAGGTGAGCCAATGTCTTATTGACTCCCTCACTCTGTGTAGCTCTTTCTCTGGAATAAATCATCCAACTGTTCCAAAATTGTAATAGTTTCTTTTCATATGCATGTACAGTAAACATACAAAATTTTGTCCCAATTAGATAGTTCCTTCTTGGTGCATCAACTTTTTTGTTAAAGAGTGTATGCTTATAGAAGGCTTAAGGTGAGACAGGATGACATCTGTTTTTTTAAAATATTTTTCAACCCTCAGTGGAAAGTAAAATTTCTGCTGTTAAAGTAACAAAGCTAATTTTAGGAATTTGAAAGACATTTTCTTAAAATGAATTTTCTTTAATTTCTTAATGACTATTCCATAGAAAACGTAAACTAGTTTTTGTTTAAAAATACACTTGAATTTTCATGCAATTTTATAATCTGTATGGAGTGGCTGGACAAGAATGATAACACAAGCCTACAAAAAAAAAATTTGTGCCTAGGATTTTAGAACTGATTTTTGCTATATTTGAGTTGCTGAATCCAAATATGAAATCAGTTTTTCTCTATCATCTATACTTTTATAGATCAGCTACATGAAATGTACAGTTCTAATTCCAGTTTGTACAGTTCTAAAGCACATATACAAGGATTAATTCCTGTATATTTTCCCCATTGTTGGTCTGCCGTCCAGTTAGTTCTAGGTAAATCCACCAGATGAAGTAAGCATCCGGTAACGAATTGATGTTCAATGCTTCAACTAGAGTTGAGATAAGTTTGTAAGTTCTACCCATGCAGTGTGGATCGAAGTTGGCCTCGCATGATATTTGTGTTAAGGCAAGAGTTGTTATAAAATTAACCTAAATTGTACTGTATTCTGGATGCTTTTATTTGTATTGTTGAATAGAAATAAAATGAGTTCAAGTAGAAATAGTTGTGTAAATCATTCTGATGTGTTTTGCTACATATGCATATTTTAATATACTTTAAAAGAATACAAAGTCACTAATAGTTTTTCTGTTAAAAGACTTTATCTTGGATACTTTGGTGTTAGGCTTGGTGATCAGGATAAAAGCTGTGCACCCCATCAGGTCTGTAAAACTTGTACAGAACATTTACAACAGTGGACTACCAGAAAAAGAAAAAGTCTGAAATTCGGCATACTGATGGTTTGGAGAGAACCCAAAAATCACTTCGATAACTATTATTTCTGCCTAGTAAATATTAATGGAATCAATCATAACAACTGTACCAAGTGGACTTATCCTGATTTAGTCTCTGCAAGATGCCCGGTCCCTCACTCAGAGGAAGTGCCAATTCCATCATTTCATCAGCTACCAGAGCTCTGTGAGGACGAGTATCTCTCTTATCCTAATGAAGGTGACTGTGATTATGAGAGAATGTCATCAATTCCTCAACATTTCGACCAGGATGAGTTAAATGACCTCACCAAAGATCTCAACCTGCCAAAAGAAGCTTCTGAATTATTTGCTTCCAGGTTGAATGAGAAAAATTTACTGGAGCAAGGAACCAAAATTACCTTTTACCATACAAAAGAAAAGGATCTGCTACCCTCCTTCTCTCAAGAAGACAATCTTGTGTTTTGTCACAAAATTAGAGGACTCTTGGAAAAAATGGATCTTCTTGAATATTTTTCAGATGATTGGTGCCTATTTATTGACAACTCAAGACGAAGTTTGAAATGTGTCCTTCTACACAATGAGAACAAATATGGTTCAATACCAATTGCTCACTCAACGAAAATGAAAGAAGAATATAACACCATGGTTTTGGTCTTGGAGAAGATAAAGTATCATGAACATCAATAGGTAATTTGTGTAGACTTAAAAATGGTAAACTTTCTCCTTACACAGAAAATTGGCTACACCAAATATCCTTGCTTCTTGTGCCTCTGGGATAGCAGAGACAAAACACACAACTGGGTTAGAAAAGAGTGGTCTAAGAGAGAAAATTGAACGTTGGAGAAAAAAATGTCATTAATGATCTCTCCAGTTAAGCCACTTTAAAACGAAAACAAACGTAAAATAGAACGCAAGCAATACAACAGTTTAAAAAATTTTTAACCGTTGTATTGCTTGCATTCTATTTTACATTCGTTTTCGTTTTAAAGTGGCTTAACTGAAGAAGACTATTAAATATAGTCGAAAATGTTTTTATTTTATTAAATGACCTCTCTTAGTTGAACGAGAAAAAATCACCTTTCCTCCATTGCATATCAAGCTAAGCCTAATGAAGCAGTTTGTAAAGGCTCTTGATAAGAATAGATCATGCTTTGCTTACATAGGGAAAAAAATGCCTCAGTTCAGTATGGAAAAAATTAAAGCAGGAATAATTGACGGCCAACAAATAAGACAACTCATTAACGATCCTGCCTTTGTAAATTCGATGAATGAAGCTGAGCAAAAAGCCTGGACTTCATTTGTTGCAGTTGTCAGCTTTGTGTTTGCCTCGAAAATTTCTATGTTGAACTGGTAAATGAAATGCTTAACAGTTTCAAATCCCTTGGGTGTAATATGAGTATTAATTAAGGTGCACTATTTATACAGTCACTTAGACCGTTTTCCTGAAAATTTAGGAGACACCAGTGAAGAACAAGGTGAAAGATTTCACCAGGATATTAAAACTATGGAGGACCGCTACCAAGGACAATGGGATATGCATATGATGGCAGATCACTGCTGGAGTTTAAAAAGGGACTGCTCCAAAATACATTCACGAAAGTCACAGAAAAGAAGCATCCTCAATGTGTAACTATTTAGTTTTATCAATGACTTTTTCCGATAATAAAAATTCCGTGTTTAGTTTTTTATTTGATCCATGGATTTAACTTAAGATATTGAAATGTATATTTTGCTAAAATGCTATATCTTAAAAATTAGAGCTCCTAGGCAAAAACTAATACCATATTTGAATTCAGGGCATCAAATTCATATGAAGTCATCTCAAAATACCCCAGCACCAAAACCACTGTTTATCTGTGTAATCTTTTAAACATAATTATATAATGCATATGAATTTCTAATGCTACATTACTAAATTTAATTCTTATAAGTTAATTCTGATCATTCAAAGATTTTGAGTGAAAAGCTTATATATTAACACTATAAACACTATAGCGTTTTAAAACTGATTAATAAAAATACAGTAGAATCCACTTATTGACTTGTATATATTGGTGGTGATAACCAAATAACATTAAGCAGGATACATAAAGTTATAATTAGTAAAAATTATTGACTCTGACATTAATAACAACTCAAGTTATACATGTTATTTTAGTTATTAAAATTGATTCAACATATATTTGAAAAACAAATGTTAGCTTTTTAAACTACTATATTGCAAGTAATGAATAAAACAGTGCTTTAATAACATGCTAAACACTGTAAAGAATGAAAATAACTTTAATGAGCAAATAGTTATTGTGACATCATCACAGTGACAATGTTGTTTTAATCATATTTTCTAATTTATTTAATTTATTAATTTGAAGGTGGAGAGCATATATTTTAGTGTCTTACCCCTGTACATCAAACTTTTCTGTTAATACATGACCAGCACAACTCAATTGCTAACAGCTTTCAGGGGAAAAGTTTTGAATTGAAATAACATGACTTCTGGTTTGCATCAGAAGTTCACATATAGTTAATCTGGAATTTCTGCCCGAGCTTTCCATATCTGGTCTTAGCTTTCATCTATGTAACTCTGTTCTCAAGATTAAGGAAAGACGGATGACAGTGAGAATTTATAGGTCTACAATTTTTCAAAATCACAGGCCAGTGACTATGGTTTATCAGCCACATTTTGAGATTGATAGGAATTTATAAGCTGCCTTATGTGCTATTTACCAGAAGACATGTAATGCAATAAGAGTTTCAGTTATAGTTAAAACACTTAACGTTTTGGACAAGCTAAGTTTTCTAATTATAATAACGTTAAACAATTGACAACAAAATTATATGGATTCTACAATAAGTGGATTCTACAGTATAATGTTTGACAAATTGCTATTTATCCTTTTCATGCTCATGAAATCATATCTAATATATACTAGCATAATAATAAGTTTAAACTTTTGTGATTGATAAATTTTTATTTTTTTTTCTTCTGATTGATCAAATATTGCAGCTGTTTATTTTAGTCAAAAAAATTTTTTATATTTGATTTGTTTATTTTATATCACAATAATCAATTATTGATGATATAACAAATTTTAAAAATGATGATACCACACTTAATTAAATTCAATTTTAAGTAACTAATAAGACAAAAAATATTCCAGTTTTTCTGTTTAGTATTTAAAAAATTTAACTTTAATCATTTCTTTTCTAAAACTTCTATAAATAATGAAAGTTGCTTATACTTACTGCAGAAATTAAACCTTCAGACCACTGTCCATCTTCAGTCATGCTTTGAGAATGTTTTCCAATCTAAAATAAATAACTCTTCAATTAGTGAATAATAATTATAAATCAAATTTAAACTAATATGAAAAAATGGTAAGAAATTAATTTATATTTAAAATGTTAAAAAATTTCATTGGAATGCATTGAAAGATTTAAAATTTTGGTTTAATTTTTTATTTCTTAACTTATAAAAAATCTCAACAATGTTAGAAAATACAGGTTTTGGATAAATTACTGTTAATTGGTTTCTATACAAGATCAAAATAGTTTTGAATTATTATTATGACAGAACTGTTGTTTGCTTGAATCATAGATATAAATAATGAATTCATAATATATAAAATCTTTAGAGATATTTTTAACACACAAATTTATACAAAAGACAAAATGATCTCACTTTTCCAGAAAATAGTAATTCTCTCTGAGCAGCTGATGCTGCTTTCATCAAAGTAGATGATGCATTAGCCACTGATTTAGCTGTTTCCAATATCATTTCATCTAAATCACTATGATCTTCTATGTCGTTGTTAGAAATAGAGTCAACACTGTGATTCTGGTTGTTCTGAACCTTAAAAAAATCAATTGAATATATGAGAAAAAAAAAATATTGGTTATATTTTAAAATTGATATGTATTTATCATGCAATAAAAAGATATTTCTGGCAATTCTATATGACAGTGAACAACTATGAATGCAAAGCAATTTTTATATATTTTAATATTATCATTTAAAATTTAACTAATATTTTAGTAATAATGCAATTAGTAATACTCAATTAATGAATGTAAGAAAAAGATTAATTAGAGCATGCTGTTTATTGTTACAAAACAAAATTAAGAATAGCCTTTAAAAGCAAACTTATCAACCTAATAAGCCAAGTGAACCTTCCAGTAGAAGAGGAATGACATCTAAGCAAAAAGTATTCCAAATTATTCAATTAGTTAAGCAAAAGAAATGACTTTGTAAATCCAATTTCTATATAAAATAAAATTAGTTTCATGATTATAGATTAACAGATATATAAAAGGTGTAATAAAAGAATGAAATCTTATTTAAATTTTATTCTGAAATGAAAAAATAAAAAGAAAATATTCATTAGTAAAATAATTCCATAGTGAATTATAAGTTAAGTATTAATTTTAAATTAATTTATTTTTCTATTTGACTATAAAATATTTTCAGATATCAGTAAAGTGTATAAGAAAGCAGAACCTTTGAATTATAATTAAGCAAAACTTTTGTAAAGTAGAAGATATCCACATTAGATATTTGTGAATTTTTAAAGCAAAAATTAAAAAATATATCACAAACACTGCTTATATTACAGTAAAAGATTTTTATGTTAAAATGTTACTTATCATCTCCATGCAAACATTTAAAGTATTAAAAGGCTCTGCTATTTTATAATACAAGTATATATAATAATTATTTTGCTTAATATTTTAGACTACATTTTTAAATATATATAATATTCAATATATTTTAAAATATGTGAAATTCTAAAATCTTCGATGAAAAGTTGCAGTCTGCACCCCTCTCTGTAAGCATATGTCTGATCCTCGGTTGAAGTCAGGCCACAACCAAGAATATCAAACATATCATACAGCTAGGAGGCAGTAAACCAGCAAATAACAGCATTTGAATTGGATCTCTTTCTTTTGGATAGTCATCTTCAAAGTTTTCAAAACAACATACTGTGTGCTTAAAAAAACACCAAAAATTTCCATACTTACTTTGTGATTTTGTCTTGGTTTCAAATGAATCAGTTTTTTAGCTGCAGCTTCAATAGAATTAGCAGCACCTAATAATTCTGTTTCGGCAATAACAATAGGATCATCTACCGAATTAATATCTGATAAGAAAAAATTTCAATATAGTAATCTTCAATTTGATTAAACTGTACTCATAAAAAATATATTTTATCAAAAAAAGTTAATTGTAATAAGTTAACATTTTGAATAATTTATAATTACACTCTGCAAGAACTATTACTGTAAAGTAAGTATTCACTAAGTAATTAACATTAACTGTAATTATTATTTACATTACAGTTATTATGCTACTTTTTATCAACATGAATAATTTCTAAAGACAATTCTAATACAGTCATTTTCATAACTCATCCAGTTATATCTTACTAATTACTATCTTACTATTAGTAAAAGCATTGGATGGGGGAGTTCCTGACATAAATTTTGTCAGTGCTATATTTTGTGACACCCTAGTAAGTCCCCATCTAATAGGATAGCATCTCGGTTGAAAACCACTGATTTAATGAATGGTATTTAATTAGTACAAATAACAAGATTTATAAATTTTATATCTATTCTTATTGATTTATCTGACATTAGCAAATGAAATACATTCTCAATATGATGTTTGCCATTTAACCTATCTCAAAATTTCATCTTTATATTGGTCCATGTATAATTTGATAGATTTTAATTAGTAATGTGATATTGATATTTGAAAACATTATGTCTGGTCACTAAAAATAAAACTATGATACATAACTTTCAATATAAATAATTTGAATCTTAACCAATTTTTGTAATTTTATTTTAAAAAATTAAATATTATATTTTAAGTTGTACAATCTGACCTTTCAGATCAATTTCATTTAGTATTTCACTAGTCAGTCTGGCAATTTCACGAGACAATTTAGTGAGTTCAAATTTTCCATCCATAGAAGGCTTCTGGATTATCTGAAAAAATTATTTAATTAAATAAAAATAAAATATGAATTAATATGTCTATTTTTGAAAACATACCTGATAAATTAATAATAATAATTCTTGATATTTTAAAGCACAGTTTCTACCCAAATGCAATATTTTTTCTTTTGCTTCATGGTTTCTTGCTGAGAATGCAGTAGCCTGAATCAAAATAAAAAATATATAATTTATCATTAAAATATTTAACATTCTTTGAAATAATTTAAAGTAGTGTTAATAAATACCTTGCAAGCTAAAAGTAAATCACATATAGCTTTTCTTCCCATATTAGCTGCAACTATTATGTCATCTTGTTTGCAGCAATTACTGGCAGCAACTGCCTTTGCTGTAGCTAGCATAACTGGTTTAGTGAATTTTGTAAAATCTTCAATCGAAATAGTTTTACTTGAATCAAACGGTGAATTAAAAACCTAAAATGCATTTTACTTTTATTAGTAACAAATTTCATTTATTTTAAAATGTGCATTAAAACAAAATCTTTTTTAAAATAATCAATTCGGTTACTGTTAGGTTACATCTTGTACATAACAGCATAACAAATAGTCCAATACTAAGAAGTATTTTTGAAAAATTTAACGTCTTTAGAAATTTATTTTATCTTCAACAGGATTTATAATTTACAATTAAACATTTTATAAAATAGGCAGGATAAGAAATCTGATGAAATCTTTAAACTTAATTTAAAATTTATACATCAAACTAAATATATTTGATGCATAGAACAGAGAATTTTCATCTAAATTTATACTTGTTCTTTTGATAATTCTGTTATTTTTATCGATATTATAGGATTCTTTTTGTTTAAAATTAAAAATCCAATTGAAAATAAAATAACATTTATGCATCATTTAAAATTATGTACAAAATAATTTACTTAAGTTAACATGGCATTCCAACACACTATAGACTATTCATTCTAAAGAATGGATGTAGAATGGAGAATGATGCTCCATCTATAATTTAAAAATTTTAAGAAAGTCATATAATAATAAGCTAAATAAACTAAAAATTGGTAATAAATGATAATTATTTATTATCAATTTTAGTATTAGTCAGCTTATTGCAAATCTATAGCATTTAACCCGATTCTATATGATCAATATATTTATTAATTATGGATAGAGATAATTTAATTTACCTTTAATTCATGACCGATAACTTCAATAGTATTCTCTAATACTCTCCGACCTCTAGTATGTTCGTCTTCAAGTGTTTTAACTGTTTTTAATAAAGACGTAACATTTGTCACCATCATCTGTAAAGTATCAATTTTAGCTTTCATATCCAAGCATAAGACTATAAGTTAGTAAAAGCAAGCTGTTAAAGTTTATGATTTTGCTGGTGATATATCAAACATTTTTTTTATATATTACAGTTTATTTTTATATAAAAATAATTATTAAAATATAAAGCCATTCAAATTATAGATCACAATTAAAATACAAAAGAAAGCATAAATCTTTTTATATGCTTACTTTACCAGCAAAATCCTTTAAAATGTTAAAAATTCACATGCACATTTAAAACAGTAAGAAGAAAATATTTAAATTAGCATAACATATAAATTTTAAATCATAAAAAATGCATATAATTTAATTATAATAATCACATTATAAACTTTATCAGTTAAACCAAAGATGAAGCTGAGTAATGTTACATTTGATTATGTATATTAACATAATGTGGCATGCAGGTTTGCTTGTCATATCAGGATGGGTTTACATACAAACACTCAACCTAGAAGAAATATTAAATTTTATTAGTTGTCTGATAAGACAGGCATTTTATTCATTTAAAAGCTTGTTGTCACAGGTAGGTAACCATGCAAGAATAACAGCCAAACTGGATATATAAAATTCAAATCAATTTATAATGGCAGAGTTTAACTTTTACCTCTGCATCTTCAGACAATTTATCATTCTTCTTTTCCTTTATTTATTTTTTAACACAAAATACAACAATAATATATTAATATTGCATATATAAATTTATTGGTATTCAAAAATACATGAACAATTGTATATAAGCTTCTGCTTTGCTTAAAATTATTACATAAATTTTAACAAATAACTTTTCTGTTTCATCTGTTTACATTATCAAGACAGCAATATTAATGAATTCAATTCCTACATCTCCTCCAATAAACAAAAAATGTTACAGATAAACATATTTTAAGCAGTTTTCTTGCAGAAAAGAGTTAAAAATTGCTTTCAAGAAAGATGATATATTGTAATGACAAAAAGTTTTTGTTTCAGAAATAATTTACAAGATAAATATGATTCAAACAAATATATTAGAATTTTTAACTACACAATTTATTGCACAAATGAATTATTTGCATTATTAATTTTTTTTTCTACATTCATGATATGGTAAAGTTGTATTTGAGATATGATAACTTATTAATCTAATAAATATGATGGAACTTAGAAACTGTACATGCAAAAAAAAAAAAAAAAGAAATAATACAAGTTTACAAATATAATTTGCTTGATAACATTTTATAAAATTGAAGTTTTTTACAAATTTTTATGTTATAATTTGTAAATATTGACAAAAAAACAGACAAGTTTGTCAAGTTATAATTTTAACAATGAAAAATAGAAATTTTCAACAATTCAGAATAGAAACATTACTGATATTTTTCAGTAATCAAAATTATAGACAATAACATTTTGTTATCTGAATATTTATATAATTATTATTTATTTTTATTTTTCTTAACAATTTCTTTGTTGGAAAATGAAAATTTTTCTTAATGTTCCCACAAATACACTAATGTACATGAAGTTGAATGTCTCCCATCGCCTCAACAGACTCCAGATTTTCAACAGATAACAATCTTATAAGCTCTTCTTCCTGATCAGAAGCCAGCCATTCCAGTGGCTCAGTATCAGATGCATAACTGTCATAAGTTTGAACCTAGTAGTAGAGAGTCACCAAACTAATCAGTATATGGATTATTTTCATGCATAACACCATAATTTAACTTGTTTTTTTCAGTATATATTCTCTTATTAATATTTATTGTTTACATTTTTGAATTAAACACAATAAAATTTAAAGAATTTTAAGATTACATTTAATAATTTTGTATTTATTGTAATTAATTATAAGAAAGAATAAAATCTAATTCTATTGTTACTTATACTTATTATATCATATTAGTTTCAAGTATATTTAGAAATTTCCAACCTGATTTTTCATGGTGACACTCTTTAAATGTATATTAAGTTGACTAATATATGTTAATTTAAACAATATAAAATTAAAATTTTTAAAATGTAATCTTATTTTAAAAGATTACACCATTGATATAGATTTTTGATAATTTAACAGTTTATTTGTAAAATAAATATATTAAAAAATGTTTTGACCAAAATTTGTTCTCTTTCTTAGTAAATTAATTTTCAACCAAACAAAAACTAATTAAATTAAAGTTTCCTTAGATTTTTAATAAATTTATATAAAGAACTGGAGAATTTCTAATGCATTCATAATTAAAGATTGAAACAATATACATGTTATTAAAATTTAAATTACCAATTAGTTTGTCTAGAAAATAACATTAAAAACAAATCTAAATTAAAAATAATTTGCTTTACTCATTTTCATCAATGAATTCAAACTATTGAATTGAATTGGTAAAGAAATATGAATTCATTTGGATTTTAAAACATTCAAAGAATATGGAAATCATCTAATTATTTGAATTAATATATGATTTAATCTTAGATTGGCAATTTTAGATTTTTAGCAAGACTATTATCTACGTTTACCTAGTTTATGTAATTAATAACTGTATTTTTGATAAAGTTATGTAATATAGCTATTAATATAACACAAACTTATTACTTGAAGACAATAATAATCAGTATATTTATATTTTAATTATAACAATCTTCAAATTAAAAAAAATTGAACAAAATATCTTTCTTAAAGTCAAACAATTACCATATTAGATCAGGCTATATTACTGGTACTATTAATAATTAATGCTAAGTAATTTGACCTAGATTTAATAAGAGATGGCACCTAATTCCAAATTAGGTGCCATCTTAGTAGATCAATAGCCCAATCTAATCTGGCAATCATTTTGCTTTAATATAACTACCAAGCTTATACATGTTTATATTTGTATCTTTGTTTATTTTCTGACTAGAAAATCTGTTAAATAAAAAACAATTGTGACATTTGGCTATTTTTGTCACTAAAAGAAGTTTGAGAAAATTATTGGTCATAACATTACAAAATGAAACCAGCTAGTCATGCTAATAAAGTTCTTATAGTTGTACATATATATATTAATTTGTTTGTCTTCTGCCAAATTTCATATTTTTAAAAAATAAACTAAAATCAAAATATTTTATATTAAAGAAGAAATTGAAGTAAGAACTAAATTTTAAATATTTAGTCCATATTAATTTCTTTAAACCAAAAATATTCTTAAAATATTATTCATGAAAAGAAATAAGAAATTTGGCAATTATATATATTTTCAATAAAATATTACTACTACTTTTAGATCCTTACCTTAGCTGAATCTTTTAGATGTACCATAGCAGGATCCTGAATATTTTTACCAGATGCTGCTTTAGTTGCTTGTATAAGATCACCTAATGCTCCAGCAACTTCTCTAACTGCATTAATTAATACTACCTATTAAGGAAAATATTAATTTTTAATCTACTGATTATTTTTCAAATAAAACCTTTAAAAAATATTTTTATTAATGACTAGCTATATAGATGTTGACACATTCAGTGAAATTTAGTTAATTAAAAAGTTTAATTTTTACAAAACTACAGTTATATAAAAACAGAAAATTTTTGTAAATTAATATCAATGCTATATTAATATTTTATTTGAAGCTATTATGGTAAAGAGTCTATCTAATACTTTTATACTCTGTACTATTCATAAAATGATCATAAATACAATTGTTTGAGAAAAAAGTCATGAGATAATATGACTTCTTAATTCTTTCATTTTTAATTACTTGATAAACTATAGCTTTACATAAGCTAGAAATTGAAAAATTTATTTTAAGTATGTCTGTAATTGATAAACTATAAAATAGAAAGTACTTGACCATAAAAAAAGTGAACTTATAGATTCTTTGAAATCTTTCAACTCCTTAAATAAAAAATAGAAAAAAAGAACAGCCTTACCAAAGAGACACCAAAAAAATTTTTATATAAAAAAACATTCTCACAAATAAAATTACTGTATTATCTGATATTGCATTTAATAAGACAATAGAAATTAGTGAAATGAAACTAGCTTTGTTGTTACAAGAAAGTATGTGCTTACCTATAATAATAAACACTTAAGAATTCATTGCAGCTAATATTAGTAGTAAAAATCTACTACTAATAATGGAATCATTTTTCAATTTTAATACATAATAATTATTAGAGTTGAAATGAATAAATTGAATAAGAAATTATTATGAAATAAATTGCATTAGTTTTCAAAGAAAATTCAACACCTACCTGAGCTTCAGTATTATTGGTGCCTAATGACACTGCACCAAACTTTACTACTTCAGCAAGTTGAACAATTGTCGTTACAGCATTCTGAGCAGCAACTGCTAGCTGTTCCTGACTAGAAGCTGCTCCTGCAACTAATGTTTTTGTATCTTCGACTAATGCTTTAGCAGCTTTTAAAATATTTTCTCTAAATAATAACAAAAAATACAAATTAAAAATATAATTAATATTTTAATTTAATTATTATTATTAAATGATTTATTTTAAAAATTATATATACCTATGATCTGTAAATGATTCAGTTTCAGCCTGCGTATGCAATGTACCAGCAGTTGCAAACATAATCGTAGTATCTAAGTCTCCAATAATGCCACTCACAGTACTGGCTGCATTAATGCATGCTTGAGTTCCTTGAGAAGCTGCTTGAAGGGCAGATAATACACAAGAAACCTAATAAAATATAATGAAATACTGAAAAATACAAGTTTTAATTTGAGCATTAATCAATAAATTAAATTTTTTACTATTCAAATTCTTCAATTTATTTATATTCTTATTTTATAATGAAACAACAGACTAAACAGTTTAATATGTTTCTCATATATAACAACAAAAAAACGAAATTAACAACTATATAAATTGATTATAAGTTATTTTATGTAAAAAATTAGTGCATTTCTGTTTAACAATTCAATTTTAATTAACTTTTGAACTAATATAAATGACTCTAAAGGACCAGAAAAACTATTATATAGTTATTCCATTGTAAGAACTAGAAAACATTTGAAGAGTTGTGTTTATCTACATATTAAATACAATTGACTTTTTATACAAATAAATTTGTTTATTTACTAACTTATATCACTTTTCATTGGAATAGATGTTTGTTAAAAACAAACATTAAAAACAATTGAAAGAGATAACAAGACAAAATAATGCTTACAGATATATATAAAAAGAATGTTTATTGGAAATAACAGTTTCTAAACTTTAAAATAATGGTTGCCCTCTAATAAACAATGCAATTGCAAACAGAAGAAGTTTTAAACAACATGCTTTTTATTAAAATAATTATTATAACTATCACCAGTATATGAGCTATTACAGTAAATATATTGATGCTCAAAACTTAGCAATAAATTAAAATCAGCATATTTAACAAAAGATAATTTTTCATAAATTACCTTTCCAACTGTTTGATTAAATTAATGACTTCTAAAGTAATGCAAAACTGAATAATTTTGAGTTAATTATGCATAATTTGTAAATATGTTAAATTTATTCCTATAACCCTATATTTATTCCGTGGATTTCTCACGATCCTCCAGCATATAAAATAGCAGCGTTCAGAACGTTAATCGCAAGAGCTTATTCGCACTGTAACAATGCAAATGATAGAAAGGATGAACTGAATTATGTTTATAACTTAGCCAGAAAGTACGGGATTAATCTTAAAGCTATTACCAACAAGAGTAGTAGGAGCCTTAAGAGGAGAAATTTACCTCATAATGAAGGAGTGTTAACGATGGAATATAATGCGTCGTTGAATAATATTTTCCGACGCATCGGAAAGGCCCAGAACAAAAGAATCATATATAAAAGAACCCGCACCACGTACCAACTACTGCGATCTGATAAAGATTTAGTGGACAGAAGAACACTCCCCGGGGTATATAAAATTCCAGTTTCGGACGCAAGGCGACGAAATAAATTAATATATGTAGGGGCAACAGGAAGAAGTATCAAAGACAGGTTAGCAGAACATCAAGCAAATATAAGAAAAAAACAACCTTGCACT